TAAGTCCAGTCGTGTCCGACTCTGTGGGGCGGTGCTCATCTTCATTTTTAAGCCGAAGACCCAGCATTGTCCATAGAAACCTCCAAGGTCATTCGGCCGGCAAAACTGCATGGAGCGCCATTACCTTCCCACCAAAGTGGTACCTATTGATCTACTCACATTTGCATGTTTTCGAACTGCTAGGTTGGCAGAAGCTGGGGCTGACAGCAGAAGCTCACGCCTCTCCCCGGATTCGAACCTGAGACCTTTTGGTCAGCAAGTTCACCAGCTCAGTGGTTTAACCGACTGTGCCACCGGGGGCTCCATCATATGACTAAGCATACATTAAACACTCTCCTCCTATATGTACAGTATGACAATATAGGAGCATATTATGTGCCTGTGTATATGTATATATAAATATATAAATACACTAGCCGTCCCCTGTCATGCATTGCTGTGGCCCAGTCTGTGTATATGTGTGTTGTGTGTATATATATTTGTGTATATGTGTATATATGTGTGTTTATGTATATACTTCATTTATATACCGCTTTTCTCAGCCCTTGGGCGACTCAAAGCGGTTAACAATAGCAAAATTCAATGCTCAACATCATAAAAACAGTTAAAAACAATTAAAATAATAACATAATAAACAGTTAAACATCAATATAACATCTCATTAGCGTCTCAAGTAAAATCAAGATCCAATCTCTTCATCCATTGTTCTGTATTCCTATGTTAATTACGCTACCTATTCAAATGCCTGCTCGAACAACCAGGTCTTCACTTTCCTCCAGAATGACAATAGGGAGGGGGCCGATCTAATTTCTGTAGGAAGAGCGTTCCAAAGACGAGGGGCCACCACTGAGAAGGCCCTGTCTCTTGTCCCCGCCAGGCGTACCTGTGATGCAGACGGGACTGAGAGCAAGGCCTCCCCAGATGATCTTAATGTCCTAGAGAGAGAGAGAGAGAATATTGTGCATGGTCTCTGCCCGGATAATGGAACAGTACCCTGGTTTGAAAGATCACCAAAATGCTCATGTCCCCTTAGTTGCTAACCTCTTTTATTTATTTACTAGCCGTTTCTTGCCATGCGTTGCTGTGGCCCAGTATGTGTATATGGTCTTTGTGTGTGTATATATTTGTATATATGTGTGTTTGCGTATATATATATGTGTGTGTGTGGTTTTGTGTATGTGTTGTATTGTTTTTTAAGCCTCTTCTGTTGTGTTTTTCAGTGTTTTTATGAGTGATGGTCACTCGTTGGCCTGATAGGCATTTTGTGTCCAAATTTGGTGTCAATTTGTCCAGTGTTTTTTTAGTTATGTTAATCCCACAAACATTACATTCTTATTTATATAGATAGAATCATAGAATCATAGAATCAAAGAGTTGGAAGAGACCTCATGGGCCATCCAGTCCAACCCCATTCTGCCAAGAAGCAGGAATATTGCATTCAAATCACCCCTGACAGATGGCCATCCAGCCTCTGCTTAAAAGCTTCCAAAGAAGGAGCCTCCACCACACTCCGGGGCAGAGAGTTCCACTGCTGAACGGCTCTCACAGTCAGGAAGTTCTTCCTCAAGTTCAGATGGAATCTCCTCTCTTGTAGTTTGAACCCTCCCTCCTAAGTCCTAGTCTAGGAAGCAGAAAACAAGCTTGCTCCCTCCTCCCTGTGGCTTCCTCTCACATATTTATACATGGCTATCATATCTCCTCTCAGCCTTCTCTTCTTCAGGCTAAACATGCCCAGTTCCCTAAGCCGCTCCTCATATGGCTTGTTCTCCAGACCCTTGATCATTTTAGTCGCCCTCCTCTGGACACATTCCAGCTTGTCAATATCTCTCTTGAATTGTGGTGCCCAGAATTGGACACAATATTCCAGATGTGGTCTAACCAAAGCAGAATAGAGGGGTAGCATTACTTCCCTAGATCTAGACACTATGCTCCTATTGATGCCGGCCAAAATCCCATTGGCTTTTTTTGCCGCCACATCACATTGTTGGCTCATGTTTAACTTGTTGTCCACGAGGACTCCAAGATCTTTTTCACACGTACTGCTCTCGAGCCAGGCGTCCCCCATTCTGTATCTTTGCATTTCTGTTTTTCCTGCCAAAGTGGAGTATCTTGCATTTGTCACTGTTGAACTTCATTTTGTTAGTTTTGGCCCATCTCTCTAATCCGTCAAGATCGTTTTGAATTCTGCTCCTGTCCTCTGGACTATTGGCTATCCCTCCCAATTTGGTGTCGTCTGCAAACTTGATGATCATGCCTTCTAGCCCTTCATCTAAGTCATTAATAAAGATGTTGAGCAGGACCGGGCCCAGGACGGAACCCTGCGGCACTCCGCTCGTCACTTCTTTCCAAGATGAAGAGGAAGCATTAGTGAGCACTCTCTGTGTTCGTCCACTTAACCAATTACAGATCCACCTCACCGTAGTTTTGCCGTAGATGTATGAGATGTATGAGACAGCAAAGCCTGGAGAAGACAATTATGCTGGGGAAAGTGGAAGGTAAAAGGAAGAGGGGCCGACCAAGGGCAAGATGGATGGATGGCATCCTTGAAGTGACTGGACTGACCTTGAAGGAGCTGGGGGTGGTGACGGCCGACAGGAAGCTCTGGTGTGGGATGGTCCATGAGGTCACAAAGAGTCGGAGACGACTGAACGAATGAACAACAATAGGAGAGATACAACACATGCACACAGGCATGTAGCTGGGGGGGGGGGGCTTGAGGGGCTTCAGCCCCCCCCCCCCCCAAATTCTCATGGTGGTTCGCGACAAGGCCTTACTGGTGCATTATTTAAACTGTTATGTTTATTCATATCATGATCTGATCACCATACTCAATATATCCCATATGCATGGGGGTATTGGGGTAATGATACAAAAGGTTTGCTAGGCTAGACCCTCTTTCACTCAGACTCAGCCCCCCCCCCCCCGAAACTCAGCCCCCCCGAAACCCCCCCTGAAAATTTCAGCCCCCCCCCCCCCCCCGAAATGAAATCCTGGCTATGGGCCTGCATGCACAGACACATCTAGGGGTGTGACAAGTACACAGGGGGAACACACACACATATACACACACGGTATATAAATATATGTATCGGAGAGACACACAGGCACAGTAGTGTTGTAATATCAATGGGTGTGACAAGTATAGATGAGGAACTCTCTCTCTCTATATATATATATATATTCACATACACGCACATACACAGAGAGAGGGAGAAACACACACATACATGCACAGTAGTGTTGTAATTTCAATGGGTGTGACAAGTATACATGAGGAACTCTCTCTCTCTCCATATATATACACACATACATGTACATACACAGAGAGAGAGAGAAACACACACATACATGCACAGTAGTGTTGTGATTTCAATGGGTGTGACAAGTATACATGAGGAACTCTCTCTCTCTCCATATATATACACACATACATGCACATACACAGAGAGAGGGAGAAACACACACATACAGGCACAGTAGTGTTGTGATTTCAATGGGTGTGACAAGTATACATGTGGAACTCTCTCTCTCTCTGTATATATATATATATACACATACAGAGAGAGAGAGAGAAATGCACATAGCATGTTCCTCATATACTGCATGAGGCTTGTGTGTGTGTGTGTGTGTGTGTATCTTTTTGCAGAGCCTGGGGAATGCCAGGAATGCGCCTGTTCCTGGGAGGGATGGACAGGCTCCATTCGGTCCTATGGAAGGCTGTTCCGACGGCAGCCCGCCCTCCCCCCGGAATCTCGGCGGAAGGAACGCGCAGAAATCTCGGCTCCGCGCGCCCTCCCTCCCTCTCTCCCCCTCCCCTCTCCTGCCGATCCGCCCACTCGGCCACCCCCCTCCGCGCCGCTGCCTGCTGCCCGCCAAGCCCCGCCCCCTTTTCATTGTCCTCCCCTCTCCTGTTTATACACAAAGACCCCCGCCTGCCCCGTCTCCTCCTCCCCCTCCCCTTCCTCCGCTCTTTCTTTCTTTCTCTTCTTTCTCCTTCTTCCCAATCTTTCCTCTCTTCTCTTCCTCCCTTTTCTCCCTCTCTTTCTTTTGCCTCCCTTTCCTCCCTTTTTCCCCTCCCAGTTTTTCCATCCTGGGTTAAAATAGGATTTGAGCCATGGGGCTGGGAGGTGGAGCTCGGCAGAGGATTTAAAAAAGCGGGTGTGCTGCAAAGGGATTGAGAGACAGAGAGAGAGAGGATACGTTTTTTTTCTCGCCTTCGCTCTCTCTCTATGTTTCTCGTTCTCTCTGAAAGGAGGAGAGAAAAAACTTCTTGGGAAGCAGCAAAAGGAAGGAGGTGGAGAGAGGAAAGAAAGAAAGAAAGAGGAATCGGAAAGGAGGAGGAGAAGAGGAGGAGGAAGAAAGGAGGAGGAGGAGAGCAGGAGAAGACAGAAAGAGGAGGAAAATAGGAGGAAGGAAGGAGGAGAGGAAGAAGAAAGGGAGGAGGAGAGGAGGAGGAAGGAAGGAGGAGAGGAAGAAGAAAGAGGAGGAGGAGAAAGAGAAGGAGAGGAAGACAAAGAAGGGGAAGAGGAGGGAAAGAAGGAGAAGGAAAAGGGGAAAAGAAGGAGAAAGGAGAGAAGAAGGAGAGGAAAAAAGAGGGGAGGAAGAAAAGAGAATGGAGGAAGAAAGAAGGAGAAAAAAAAGAAAGAGGGAAAGAAAGGAGGAGGGAGGAAGAAGGAGAAGAATAAGAAAGAGGAGGAAGAAAGGAGAAGGAGAAGAGGAGAAAGAATAAGAAAGAGGGAGGAAGGAAGAAGGAGAAGAATAAGAGGGGAAGAAAGGAGAAAGGAGGAAGGAAGGAAGGAAGGAAGAGAAAGAAAAGAAAGAGGAGGGAGGGAGAGGGAAGAAGGAGAAGAAAGAAAAGGGAAGAAGAAGGAGAAGGAAGAGAAAGGAGAAGAGGAAGAAGAAGAGGAGGAGAAAGGAAGAGAGAGAAAAGAAAAAAGGAGGAGGAAGAAAGGAAAGGAGGAGAATAAGAGCAGGAGAAGAAAGAGGAAGAAGGAGAGGAGAAGAAGAGGAGGAAGGAAGAAAGGAGAAGGATAAGAAAGAGGAGGAGGAGGAAAGGAAGAAAAGAGGAAGGAGGAGGGGGCGGAAAGGGACTGACTAACCAAACCCTTCCTTCCTCTGGCAAGGCAGCCCTGACTCAGATCCTCCACCCGAATCTCCTCCCTTCTTTCTCTTGCTTTGAGGGACAGAGAGTGGCAGCCAAGAAAAGGAACTTCTCATCCAGCTGGGATCATCTGCACCTCTTCCCCAGAGATGGACCCAGCGGAGGACCCAGCCCACCTTCTGCCCCACATCTCTTGGACCACCTTGGTTTGATAGTGAGTAGGGAATCCTTGTTGTTTTGTTTTGTTTTGTTGGCCCCGAGAGATTATATGGGGATTTCCAAGCGGGATAAGAACCTTAACAAAATCTCCTTCCAAGATCTCCCAAGGGTTCTCATTCTTCGGAGTTGGCCTACTTATGTGTGTGGACAACCCGTGCTGATACCGGTTCAGTTCCTCTGATTGTGAGGCGCCAAGAGGAAAGGGATCAGGAGACACAAGGAGGGGAAGAAAGAGCAGGAGAGTCTTGGATAGAGATCCTCTGCCCTCTCTTTCTATGGCTTATCCTTAGTCCTATATTGTTTTCATCCATTGATCAAAGGGATCTTTGATCTTTTAGTCCTTCTCAAGATGCTGGGATTTGGTCGTTATTGGAATATACCTTCCTTGTTTTTATTTTTTCCAAAATGAATTAGAAAATCATAGAATCCTAGAGTTGGAAGAGACCTCGTGGGCCAAGCAGTCCAACCCCCTGCCAAGAAGCAGGGAAATCGTATTCAAATCGCTCTCTTCACCTGAATTCTTGGAATTCTCTGGATATAAGGGGTTCTTGTTGTGTGAAAATCCGCTCATCTGGCTGCTTCCATCCCTCGGATGCCTGGATCTGATCTCTGCTGGGATTTGAGCTGATTTCCCCGCTGCCTTTGTTTCCTCCTCAGGAATCCTAGCTTTTGACCCAGTTAAGAACTTCAAAAGGCAGCGCTGGGTACCAAAGTCAATTTAGCATCCTCACCTGTCACTGTTGGTTTTTGCAGGCGTTTGAACTCCTGGGATTGCTTGAAATTCAGAAACATCGAGATCCTATTACAGTAGGTTTGTATTTTTTTCTCCTTATGTATGTCCTTCTTATGGTTCCTCCCTCCTTGCAAGATTTGTTTACCTTTTCAGTCTTAAAGTGAAGCAGCCTGATATGATAATGTTATTTCGATGTGTTGTCGAAGGCTTTCAGGGCTGGAATCACTGGGTTACTGTGAGTTTTCCAAGCTGTATGGCCATGTTCCAGAAGCATTCTCTCCTGACGTTTTGCCCACATCCTCAGAGGATGCCTGCCATAGATGCAGGGGTGGCTCAACCCATTACGCAAAGTAAGCATTTGCAGTGTAGTTGATTTTGCCCAGGGGCGCTCTTGAGGCACTCTTGGGGGAAAATAGACCTTCACCTATGCGAATTGTAGTTACTGGGATGTATAGTTCACCTACAATCAAAGAGCATTCTGAACTCCACCAATGATGGAATTGAACCAAATATGGCACACAGAACTCCCACGACGAACAGAAAATATATATCAGTGATTAGTTGGGGGGGGGGGCAAAATACGGTTTGCTTACCGTTGAAAATTACCTCTGCATAGATGTGTATGAAACGTCAGGAGAGAATGCTTCTGGAACATGGCCATACAGCCCAGAAAACTCACAGAAACCCAATGTTATTTAAGGTATTTAATAATATTGGACACTCTGTTAAAAATCATTTTATTTATTTATTTACTAGCCGCCCTCTGACATGCATTGCTGTGGCCTAGTCTGTGTATATGTGTTTTTGTGTGTATATATTTGTGTATATATGTGTGTGTTTGCGTATATGTATGTGGTTTTGCGCATGCGTTGTAATGTATTTTTTTATTTTTTGGCTTTTTAAGTCCCTTCCAATATGTTTCCCAGTGTTTTTATGAGTGATGGTCACTTGTTGGACAGATAGGTGCCTTGTGTCCAAATTTGGTGTCAATTCGCCTGGTGGTTTTTGAGTTATGTTAATCCCACAAATGACCATTACATTCAGTTCTTGTGGGTTTTTTCGGGCTATATGGCCATGTTCTAGAGGCATTTCTCCTGACGTTTCGAACATTACATTTTTATTTATATAGACTAGCTGTGCCCTGCCATGCGTTGCTGTGGCCCAGTCTGTGTATATGTGTTTGTATATATGTGCATATATATTTGTGTATATGTGTATATATGTGTTTTTGCACTTGCATTTTAATGTATTTTTTGCTTTTTTGGCTTTTTAAGTCTCTTCTGCTGTGTTTTTCAGGGTTTTTATGAGTGATGTTCACTTGTTGGCCAGATAGGTGCATTGTGTCCAAATTTGGTGTCAGTTCATCAAGTGGATTTTGAGTTATATTAATCCCACAAATAAGCATTACATGTTTATTTATATAGATTATTTATTATTATTTTAAAATAGTAGTGTCATGTTTATATTTTTCATAAATACATATTAATCACCACTACTCAGTGGCTGGGCGCATAAGGTTCTATGTAACCTCTTAAAGCCAAATCCACTTGCCATTCTAAATTCAGATTAAAGGAACTTCTCTTCCCTGGAAGATATAGATATGACATGTATATGGGAAGGGGCATTAAAGCATTGCCCTCCCCCATAAGAATTCTGCTGTGAAATATTCCTTTTTGTCCCCAAATTTCTAGTATTGCTAAAACTGGAAATTTCAGCTGAATATTTAGAAATACAATGTAGGCATCCAAAGACAAGGGGCTGGCAAAGTGACCAATGGAATGCAAATTCAAGGGTTCTAGGCATGACAAATCATCAATACTATGCAATGCAAGAAATTTATTGACAGACAGGAAATATTATGGGGAACAGAATTTTAGTGTATTATTTATTTATTTACCATATTTATAGCCTGCCTTTCTCAACTCAAGGCAGCTTATATACATAGTAGTGTCTCACAACCTTTTTTTTTTTTTGACCAGCGACCACTTTGACCAGGGATCACTCTCCAACATTAGTGCTAAAAGGGTTACAATTGTTTTTGGTCAACTTTAGATTCAGTTGGTTATTTGGGGTGCTGATTCAGAAAACTGCGTTGGATAGACCACATCAGCTCTAGTTTCTGATACAGAACATATGGCATCCAGTAACCGCCATTTGCTCACCCACAGAAAACCATATTTAATAAGCTTCGGCACTATAAGAGAGTTTCACGAGACCAGTCACTCTTGTTGCAACAGTGTAGTAATGGTGAGGCCACGGACCATATTTTAGTCCTTGCAGACCACAGATTGGGAACCATTGATATAAAGGTAGCAATTTAATGCCGAAAACACACAAAATAACAATATCTATATAAATAAAAATGTAATGTTTGTGGGATTAACATAAGTCAAAAACCACTGGATGAATTGACACCACATTTGGACACAATACACCTATCAGGCCAATGAGTGACCATCACTCATAAAAACACTGAAAAACACAGCAAAAGAGACTTTAAAAGCCAAGAAACAAAAATTACATTGCAATGCATGCACAAAACCACACATATACACAAATACACAGACTGGGCCACAGCAACACATGGCAGGGGGCAGCTAGTATACAGTAAAACAATCATTAAAAACATATAAAACCTTGAAATCACGCAATCCAATATCATAGTCCGTGGCTGTTCCAATTTGTCATTGCAGTATTCCATAATTTTCTTATTACACTGATAGATTACTCACTGAATGCCTGGTCTCATATCCACATCTTTAGCCTTTAGGGAACAATACACTTTAATTCCTCCACCCCCCACCCCCCTTTTTTGGGTCGTGTTCTGAGTGACTTGAGAAACTGCAAGTCGTTTCTGGTGTGAGAGAATTGACCGTCTGCAAGGACACTGCCCAGGGGACGCCTGGATGTTTTGATGTTTTATCATCCATGTGGGAGGCTTCTCTCATGTCTCCACATGGGGAGCTGGAGCTGATAGAGGGAGCTCACCCGTGCTCTCCCCGGATTCGAACCTGTGACCTGTTGGTCTTCAGTCCTGCTGGCACATGGTCTAACCCACTGTGCCACCCCATCTCAGCTATACTCCAGTCTTCACTTTTAGTGCAAAACCTTTTGGGGATTCAATGTATAGGGAACTGTAGTGAAATTCATTTCGTTCCTACTGCTGTCTGGTATCAGATTCCATTGCTTGGTGTGAAAACACAAGCGCTGCATGTTTCAATCTAGATTAAATAACCTGGATCCTTTGAATCTGCGTTCCCCTTTGCCTCTTGAGATCAATGTGTGAAATGTTATTTTAGCCATATTTGCATTTCCTTTACCTTTCATCCCTGGTTCTGTATTCAGCTGTTTTGCAGGCAGGGATGGTAATACAGATTTAGAAATGTACAGCAAGACATTGAAGAAAGAGCAGGCTTTTCAAACAGCCAGCCAGTGTCTGGCGGCTCCTCCCTCTTCTCTTCTTTAACCCCATGCAAAGAGATTAACTCATCTCGCTGTCGGTGGATTGCTTCCCTCCTTTGGGTGCCTGGGCTCCTTGTGTGGAGATCCACGTGTGGAACTGTCACACCCACCCCTACAAGATCTGGGAGGGGAGGGTGTGTGACGTGAGCTGGAAAGGATGAGTGGATTGGGTGGGGGGAGAAGATGAGTCACAGGCAGAGCCAAAAGAGCGCTTTTCACCTCTCTGTCTCTTTCTTTCTGGCTTCCTGAAGCTCTCGTAGTTCTACTTCCCTGGTCCTTACGGTTGTCCTTACAGTCCTTCCTCCATCTGGCTCTTCCCTCTCCCTCTATCCTTCTGCTTCCCTCCTTCTCTGTGTCTTGTCATTATGCTCCTCCATCCCTCCACACCCTTTCACCTTTCTTTCCCCCTTTTTGTCCCTTTCTGTCTTCTCTCCACGCCTTTTTTCTCAAATTTTCCAACCCTATAGTCTCCAGTCTCTTGTTTGCACCAAGATTCCCTTGGTTTTTCTCCTCCTCCTTATCCTCAGTTCCTCTCTCCAGCCTTTTCCACTTTGCACCTTTTCTTTCCCTCCTCTTCTATTTACTTCCCTTTATCTCCCTTTTCTCTTCCTGTTGCCTTTCAGTCTCCTCCACTTGTTTCTTTATTATTTTTCCTTCGCTTTTTACCCGTCTAATACTTGAAGCTTCTTTCTTTTTATATATTTCCTCCTTTCTTTCTTTCTTTCTTTCTTTCTTCCCTTCCCTTTCCTTTCCTTTCCTTTCTTTCTTTCTTTCTTCTGTCCTTCCTGCCTGCCTTTCTTTCTTTCTTTCTTTCTTTCTTTCTTTCTTTCTTTCTTTCTTTCTTTCTTCTGTCCTTCCTTCTTTCCTTTCTACCTTTCTTTCTTTCTTTCTTTCTTTCTTTCTTTCTTTCTTTCTTCTGTCCTTCCTTCCTTTCTTTTTTTCTTTTTTCTTTCTTCTTGTTTACATTTGTCTTGCTTTCCCAGGTTTTCCGCCTATTTCCTGTGAGTCTACTACACAAAGATGTCGACTCCTGTGCTGCCAGAATGGAAACTCCAGTTGCTGGAGCGCCGGCGGAAAGAGGAAGAGGAAACCCGTCGGCGGGAGCGGGAACAGCTAGACCGCATGGCCAAGATGCCCGCCTGGAAACGGGAGATCATCGAGAGGCGACGGGCCAAGCAGGGCTCCAGCACTTCCTTCTCTGAGACAGGCGGGCTGGGTGGGACTGAGAGTGGGGCAGCCCCTGTACATGCCACAGCAACACCAGGTCTAGGCGGAGAGCTGGAGAGTTCTGTGCTGCAGGAGAAGATTGGGCCGGTCCACCAGAACCCTTTCATCCAACTGGAGAAGCGCCGATACAAGGAGTCCGCCCCGTCGGAGAGTGACCTTGCCAACGTTAAGGCCAAGCAGATTGTGGATCTTTATGGGCAGATCCCTGGTGTCCGCACCCTACGTGCTGACAACGTCATCATTATTGAGTCCGTGCCAGGGGCACCACCGGCGCAACTCGCCAGTGATCGACACACAGGTGAATCCAAATCAGGCAGTGTGGAATCCCTGAATGAGCTGTTGGCACGGCGCGGGGGCAGCGTGACGGAGATCCGTGCCGGGGAGGTCTTCATCGTAAAGTCTGCCTTGAGCCGCAGTGTGGAGGACCTCAACTCTGTCGGCAGGGCTGAGTACCGAACATCCCTACCAGAGCAACGCAGAGGACGGGTGAGCAAATTGCTGAGCCGATTCAGCCAGGAGGAGAGCAGCGGGACAGTGTCACCACGTCCGGTGAGATCCCTTAGTACCGAGAACCTGACAGACAGTAACTACGTGGCGAGGAAGCCAGGCCACTCACGGGCAGACAGCAGCCCAACTTGGCAGTACCATGACAGCATACCCAGTCCTCCCCGTGACCTGCCAGGACTAACCCCTCCGGTGCCCTGTACTGTGGCTTCTTATCGCAGCCAGTTTGAAGCCAAATCTGGCAGTGGGGAGGCCTGGCCAGACAGTCCTCCGAGACGTTCACCAACTGGCAAAGCATGGGGAAGGGAGGCGGCCTCTCCAGAGAGAGGGTCCAAACTTGAGAGCAGCGATTCAGAGGCTTCTTTTGAGATCCACCCTGTGCCACCTCCAGCCTCAGTTGCTGAAGACGATGTCCAGGGCAAAGCCTTGGCCAATCTGCGCCTCCACTCCCGGAACTCCTTTATGGTGGTGCCGAGACGGGGCTCGGCCTCCCCTCCTCCACCCTCAGAACCCAAGCAGGAAGCCACCCCTTCCCCACTTCCTCCTCCTTCTTCTGTCAAGCCCCCAACCCCCACTTCCTGCTCCTCGCCCAGTTCTGAACAACTTCTCCTGGACTCTGAGGAGCCACCGGAGGCTGAGGCCATGAGACGCATGGTGGGAGGAAGCAGCGGCATTAAGGAGGACGTCAGAGTGGGGGGCTTGGCCCGGGCCTCGTCCCCCCACCCAGCCGTGCAGCGTCGCAGTGGAAACACCATCACAATCAATCCTCGCAAAGCCCCAGTGGCACCTGTCACCACAGCAGTGGAGAATGGCATTGAGAGCGACGGTCCCCCCATCACAGCCCCTGTGAAGAAGCGATATCCCACAGCCGAGGAGATCCAGGTGATCGGAGGATACCTCTCACTGCAGAGATCTTGCCTTGCAAAGAACGACCCACACCGGAAAAAGGTAGGGGAAACTATCTACCAGTTGCTCCATGGAGCTCAATCTTGCAACTCTTCCATCCGCCCCTGTCTTTCTGCCCTGAAGTTTGTTTTTCTTTATTTCCTTGTTTTGACCTAAACTTTCCCTTCATTTTTGTATTTGTTTTTCAACAACTTGCCCATCCTCACACTGATTTGTGTCACCTTCCCTACATCTCCTCTTTCCCTCCCTTTTAATCCAACATTCCAGAACAATTGGAATAATGGAAGTTGTAGTTTGGTGAGGGACAAGCACTATTTAGTGGTAGAGGCTCAAGATCTTGTAAAATTGCAACTCCCATTACTCCATAGTACTCATCCATTGTGTCAAACTGGATTAATGGGTTGCTGTGAATTTTCTGGGCTGTGTGGCCGTGTTCCAAAAGCATTCTCTCCTGATGTTTTGCCCACATCTATGGTAGGCATCCTCAGAGGTTGTGAGGTCTCTTTTCCTCACAACCTCTGAGGATGCCTACCATAGATGTAAGTGAAACGTCAGGAGAGAATGCTTCTGGAACATGTCCATACAGCCCAGAAAACACAAAACAAACGAGTGATTCAGGCCATGAAAGCCTTCGATAACAAATTGGAAACTTTCACATCAATAATTTCATGTGAAGATCATCTTGTTTAAAGTTGTGGGATTTCATGGCAGCATCTCGAACCCAGATCTCCTTTGCGATTAAAACTTTCCATTACTTGCTTGCTTTTTGCTGCAAAAGTACAAAATGTACTTTGCCTTTGTAAGGAAGATGTTGCCATTCCCATTTTACAGATAAGCAAAGGAGGAGACAGATGTGCAAGTTTGTTCATGGCCAGCTCAAAAGTTTCTTGAAAGTCTCCTGCCTCTCAGGATCAAAATCCAACACTTTAGCCAGAAAATCATTCCTAGCTCCTCTCAATGTTCGGCATTCCTTATAAGCCAGGGATAATGGATTGAAGGGGTGGGGTTTTTATGTCTATTAGAAGATGTACTGAGTACACAGCAATTTTACTCATTACCATGTAAGGCATAATAGTTAACAGCTTCTAGGATGTGAAATCAGCTACCCAGTGGAACAGACTCAGTGTGCTTCTGAGCAGCTGGGACCTGGTGCTACCACCCAGAATACTCTCTGCAACTTTGGCCTGAACCCTATTGGTTAATACTTTACTTAGGCGATCCCTCGTAGCCTGAGGATGATGGTCCTCCAAGTGTAGTGTCTTGCCGGTGGGTCCGTAGGTGGCTGTGGAGACCTATTTTTGATCCGCATGTTCTCCTGCAGTGAGGACATCGGTTTCCAGGTTGAAGGAGGCCCCAGTCAGGATTGGCTTGATGTGCCTTCCTCTTGGCAAGTTTCGCCCTTCATTCATGCCTCTTTTAATTCTGCAGCACTGCTGATCACAGCTGACCTCCAGTTAGAGTGCTCAAGGGCCAGGTCTTCCCAGTTAGTACCAAACTATCAGCCTGAATAGTAAATAAAGAACAACACTCAGAAAACAGGAGAATTCCTGACATGAAAGAATCAGGACCATCAATCACCTCCCAACAAAGGATTCCTCCAGGCAGGAGTCAGCCAGGCTTTGAAGCTGAAAGGCCATTAAATGCTAATCAGGGTGGCCAATTGCAGCATTCACACTTGCCTGAAACAGACAAGAGTTCTTTCTCCCACCTTGGACATCATTCCACATGTGTGTGTGTGTGTGTAATGTTCATTTGTGGGATTAACATAACTCAAAAACCACTGGATGAATTGACACCAAATTTGGACACAATACACCTACCAGGCCAATGAGCAGCCATCACTCATAAAAACACTGGAAAACACAGCAAAAAGGACTTAAAAAGCAAAAAAAAATTACATTACAACGCATGCACAAAACCACATATATACACAAATATAATATGTTGTCCGGGCTTGGCCACATGTAAGCCACTCCAAGTCCCCACTGGGAAGATGATGGTGGGGTATAAATAAAGTTTATTATTTATTATTATTATATACACACACAAAAACACATAGACACAGGTTGGGCCACAGCAACGCGTGGCAGGGGACGGCTAGTGTGTGTGTGTGTGTGTGTGTGCCTAGTTTCCAACAGACCTCACAACCTCTGAAGATGCCTGCCATAGATGTGGGCAAAACATTATGAGAGAATGCTTCTGCAACATGGCCATAGAGCCCGGAAAACTCACAGCAACCCATTGATTCCGGCCATGAAAAGCTTCAACAATGTATCAGTCAGTTGTTGAATAGTGAGTCATCATCTAGGTAAATTCCTTTAATTAATGGTTACTGTCTCGTTGGAATAAATAAGATTTCAGCCAATATCTGGATTCCTTGTAAAGTTCTACAAAGGAAGCAGCATGATGGCTAGATTCAATAGGTGTCTGAAAGCATCCGGGGTTGTTTTCTCTCATGCTTTTTTCTCTTTTCTTCATTTCTCCTTTTCATTTCCTCCTCACCTTCAGCCCTCCTACATCCTGAGAACTACATTAGCTCCCCGCACCCATCCCCCGGGGCAGTTTTTAAAGAAAGCTGGCCATGGTTGATTTCTCCCTTTGAAACACACAGTAATACCTTGCAGCGTTTTCGCACAGAATACTACAGCTGGCATCCGCTTTGAGCTTCCTTTGCTTTATTGGAGAAGCCTCAAACGTCATTCATATGGGGTAGAATGCACCATGGAAATTGGATATATCTACCATGTTGCAGTGCAAGGTTTTTTTTACACTCCTTTGCAATTTGTATATGATGGGTTTCTAAGCCTGACTTGCAAAAAATGGCTCTTCGCCACCTTTGGTATTTATAGACAGACCCCAGGAGCTCCATCCGCAGGCCAGATCCCCTGTTGTTTTGGCTGGGATTTACAAGCAGACGTCCAAAATGCAAATCTTCCCCGAGTTCAAAGTGGGGGGATCAATATCATGCTTGTAGTTAACATACAATTGCTTGCTCATCTGTAATTTCAGCAGGAGTTGGCTGCAATCACTTGAAAGCTCTGCCGAAGGGACAAAAGCTGTCCCTGTTCAGGAATGAGACGTCAGTGAGACATCTTATGCCCGCAAACGCCTTTCTTGAACGTGCTCTCAGCTCTCTCTCTAGTTGTATCCCATAGATACAGAAGATAGATATATTGTCGAAGGATTTCATGGGTTGCTGTGAGTTTTCCAGGCTGTATGGCCATGTTCCAGAAGCAGTCGTTCGTGATGTTTCGCCCACATCAGGCCCGTAGCCAGGATTTCGTTTCGGGGGGGGCTAAAAAATTTTCAGGGGGGGTTTTGGGGGGGGCTGAGTTTCGGGGGGGGCTGAGTCTGAGTGAAAGAGGGTCTACCCTAGCAAACCTTTTGTATCATTACCCGAATACCCCCATGCATATGGGATATATTGAGTATGGTGATCAGATCATGATATGAATAAACATAACAGTTTAAATAATGCACCAGTAAGGCCTTTTCGCGAACCACCATGAGAATTTCGGGGGGGGCTGAAGCCCCCCGAGCCCCCCCCCCTGGCTACATGCCTGGCCCACATGTATGGCAGGCATCCTCAGAGGTTGTGAGGTCAAGATAGATAGATTGAGATATGGGAACAGGATAGATAAATCATTTAAGAGAGTGAAGGCATGTTGTAATTTCCACGAGAATGTTGCTGAATTGAAATATCAGGTTTGTGTTGTCTCCTTGCTTGTGGTCTTAATGTGGCACCCAAGAACCAAATTTAATTTTATGCCCAAATTAGAAACCTGGGGAAGATCACAATCTCAAGGACTAAGGATTTTACAAATGTTGAGAAGGGGTGTGACTTGAGGAGAAATGTGGCAGACAGGTGTGTTTACTCTCTTTCCCAACCATGGCTTGTTACTTTCAATTTGTATCCATACCTCAGCTCTTGGAATCATAGAATTGGAAGAGACCTTATGGGAAAGATGGGATATTGTTAAGGAATACAGGTAATATGGGTTATATTAATAGGAAACCCGCTGCCAAGAAATCCAACCCCCTGCCAAGAAGCAGGAAAATCGCCTTCAAAGCACCCCCGACAGATGGCCATCCAACCTCTGTTTAAAAGCCTTCAAAGAAGGAGCCTCCATCACACTCTGTGGCAGAGAGTTCCACTGCTGAACATCTCTCACAGTTAGGAAGTTCTTTCTAATGTTCATGTGGGATCTCCTTTCTTGTAGTTTGAAGCCATTGTTCCACACCCTAGTCTCCAGGGCAGCAGAAAACAAGCTTCCTCCCTCCTCCCTATGACTTTCCCTCACATTTTATACATGTCTCCTCTTAAGCCTTCTTTTCTGCAGACTAAACATGTCCAGCTCTTTAAATCGCTCCTCATAGGGCTTGTTCTCTTGGTCATTTGAGTTGCCTTCCTCTGGACACATTCCAGCTTTTCAACATCTCCCTTCAATTGCGGTGCCCAGAGTTGGGTACAGTATTTCAGGTATGGTCTGACCAAGGCAGAAGAGAGGGGTAGCATCTTCTCAACCCTTGGCATTGAAATCTTAAATGCATATTTCCCAGAGCTGTTGCGGGCAAGGATTAAGCACCCCCTTGTACCACCTCTCCCCTTCCATATCATATGTAGAACGTGGGCCGAACCTGTTTTCTGCTGTTCCAGAGACTAGAATGCATACAGTGACTTCCAATTAAGAGAAAAGAGATCCCACCTAAGCATCAGGAAGAACTTAATGTAAGAGCGGTACAACCGTGGAATAGACTGCTTTGGGGATGGGATGCACTGCCATCTTTAGAGGCCTTTGCATAGAAGTCGGATGGGCATCTTTTAAGAGTGCTTTAGTTATATATTCCTACATAGCAGGGATTGAACTAGATGACTCTTGTGTCCTTTTCCATTTTAGAATTCTGTGCTACGATCCTTCAGTGCTTTTTGGGTATGACCTAAATCTGGAGTGGAAAGCACATGGTCCCTCAGATGTGATTGGACTCCAATTCCCAGCAGCCCTATTGAATATAATGCTGGGAGCTGTAGTTCACATTTGGAG